CACGCACGCACTCCTATGGGCAATTTAGAGACACCAATCAACCTAAGCTGCACGTCTTTGGTCAGTGGGAGGAAGCCGGAGCACCCGGAGAGAACCCACGCAAGCACGGGGAGAACATGCAAACTCCACACAGAAAGGTCCCAGGTGGGGCCCGAACCCGGAACCTTCCCGCTGTGAGGCAACGGCGCCAACCACTGTGCCACCGTGCTGTTAATGAGTGGAGTAGAGGTGGACTTTTTCAAGGCACAGTAACAGGTCATTGAGAGCCAGAATTCTTGCTGTTTCTCAGGTGTTCAAATACTTATGTTCAGCAGTGCAAGACAAATAAATTCTTTAAAAATCATACAATGTGATTTTCTGAATTTTTTTTTTTCTGTCTCTCAGAGTGGGAATGTACCTACAATGTGAATTTCAGACCCCTCCATGATTTCTAAGTAGGAGAACTTGCAAAATCGCAGGGTGTTCAAATACTTCTGTTCCTCACTGTATTTCTGATTCTGTAGTTGACTGGAATCTGTTTAGATGTTGTTTCTTTGATGTCCAACCTTGCATATTAGGCTTTGGAAACATCTCCCCAAAGACTGAAGGAGGGCAGCTCTTCTGTATTTTCTATGCCCTGGTGGGAATCCCAATGTTTGGTATCCTGCTTGCTGGAGTTGGAGACCATCTGGGTACTGGGCTGAGGAAAGCCATTGCCAAGATTGAGACGCTCTTAGAGGTCAGATCCTTAAACAGAACTTTACCAATCTTCTTTATCTGCACTGTTATCTGTCTCATCCCACTGTGTTGTTTGGCCCTGCTGACAGAAATGGCGCGTTAGCCCCACTATTGTGCGAGTGATCTCAGCGGTCCTGTCCATCCTGCTGGGGTGCCTGCTCTTTGTTGCAGTGCCTATTCTAGTGTTCCAAGAGGTGGAGGGGTGGACTCTTTTGGAGTCAGCCTACTTTGTAGTTATCACCCTGACAACAGTGGGGTTTGGAGACTATGTTGCAGGTATACAACAGACAAGCACCACATGTTTTAACAGAGTGGAATGCAGGGAACTTTATCATTAAGCAAGGAAGGCAAATGCCTGGGGCTCTAAAAAGAGGGCCAAAATTACTGTAATTGTGATGTTAAAATATGATATTATGTAGATATTAAACCAATGAATTACACTATATTCCCATTTTAACACACTGTATATTTATGTACACTAGAATAACTTGCTCTCAAAGCCCTTTTGTTTCACTGTTTGTGGGTGCTGCAAATGTACCCAAACCTACTTGGACACTACAGCACTGTTGTTCAGACCTGTAGATGCAACACACTGTTCTTCACAACATCAAACACTGAAACAAAGCCATCATAATGGCCACTTCAACAAAGCAAAGCATTAATTGCAAAACTCTGTAATGTAACCCATCTAACCATTAGCAATACAGTGTTTCTAACAGTTTCCCAGCAGCATTGACTTGATGCCTGATACATGAATAGGCCACAAAGATAATTATTAAAATACAGTAAAGGCATTCAAGACAAGATTCAGAGAGGAGGTGAGAAAGTGCACCCACATGCTGTAGAAGAGATTCTCAGATCCTTTATTCAAATAAAAGTAGGCGAGCAGTACTAGGAGATACTATAAAAATATTCTGCTTCAAGTCCTATATCAAAGGTTTTACTGAGGTAAAGGAGGCCCACAAGAGTACTATCAGTATAATGTACTAAAAGTATCAAAAACTGCCTTCTCCTCAAAGTGGTACAAGACTAATATAATACTATTTTTATGAATAAATCCACATGTAAGCAACATTTTAGTGTTGGAAGTGTATTTTAACTACTTTATATGCTACTGTGTTATTTACAGTTATTTAACTGAATTTAATATGTGAGTTAATAAATGTTACTGGGGACATTTACCTGTTTTTTCAATGCAGCTGAACATAGCTTCCATTATTTTGTGCTTGCTTTTGCATATTTTTTGGGTTGAATTTATTGATCCGTAGATGAGTTGCTGATAAGACTTAATTAGACATCCATAAATATACATGTCATTTGTAATGCATTAAGTTCACTTAGTACAGACAATTTTCACTTATCTCATAAATTATTCAGGATGATTTTCTTGTAAGAGATGAATTATTGATTATAGTATGTTCTGTCTTAAGTGGTTATTTACGCCATAAAAAAAGGATGAATGGATATATGAATGTGTTTCCTTAACTGCTTTGTGTCTTCTCAAAGGGGATTCTGGGTTTGCAGGCAGCGACCACTGGTACAAGCCTTTGGTGTGGTTCTGGATTTTATTGGGTCTTGCCTACTTTGCGTCTATCCTGACAATGATTGGTAACTGGCTTCGGGTTCTTTCTAAGAAAACCAGAGCTGAGGTACGTGTTCTTTTCTCCTGTCTATTTTGTTATGTCTTATCTCTGCTACTTCCTGTCCATCTTCTCTGGTTTTGTCCTCTTCCCATAGATGGAAGAACTGCGAGCCCATGCCACTGACTGGACACAGAACATCCAGAATATGTCAGTAGATTTTCGCATTTCAGGAAAAATAGATGACCCCTTCAAACGGAGTCGACGAAAGCGCCGCCATGGTTCTCGCAGCCATGGTCACGGTGTGTTGGCTGAAGGGACCGCTGAGGGGAAAGAACAGCAGCATGATAGTCAAACAGATTCCGGATCTTCCTTTTCTTCCTCTTCCTCTAACGAATCAGGGTCTGGATCAGAAACAGACTCTCAGGGCACTCAGACAGAGCAAGTGCCTGAAACAAAGACTGAAGAACTTGCAAAGGAGCAGACTCTTCCAGATCCCTACTTGTCTCAGCCTCTGGATTACTTTGGGGAGAACCTTGCATTTATTGATGAGTCTTCAGATGCTCAGAGTGGCAATCTACATTTAGATCCTATGCTGGATCCAACACGACCTGACGCTGCACGCTCTCGTCCACCAAGAAGGAGACGCCACAGAAAGCATGTTCCACAGGGAAGCCCCAAAAGCAGCATCTCCAACCCTAATAAGAAGGAGCCCAATGGAACCCCAAACCAGATCCAGATCTGACACTGAAGCTTTAAGATTTAAGCTGGTTACAAAACTCTGCTGCTAGCCCAAATATCCACATAAGAGATATGAAATGTGTTGAAAATTTGGCAGAGGAGTTTTCACTATAGCAGATTATTTGTATATATGGTCTTATACTTGTATAGCGCCTTTCTATGCTTTACAGCACACTCAAAGCACTTTCACACTATTTGGCCATTCACCCATTTGCACTCCCAAACACACACACATTCACACACCAGTGGGAGCAACTCGGGGTACAGTGGCTTGCTCAAGGACACGTCGACAGGACAAGCCAGGAATCGAACCGCTAATCCCCCGGTTAGGAAACGACCCGCTCTACCTCCTGAGCCACAGCCGCCCGTACTGCTTACTTAGAGACACTTAAGATGAAAAGGTGCTGTGAAAGCCTTAGCCACTTGTGATCTGCATTAATGCTCTTAGCATGTGAGTGTGTATACCTCACTCAAAGATGATGAAGTGATTTTTATGCCAATGGTCCCATTACTTTCTGAAGAATTGTTGCTCTCTGCTGGGACAAGACAGAACTGCACTACTGCCTTCTCAACATGAGGACCTCCTGCCAACAATTAAATGGTACTACACAGGCCCTTACACATTTTTGGTATGTTAAAAAAAAAAGCTGTGTGAAACCACAATATCTGCATTTTGATGGTCAATCTCTGTCTTACAAACATGTTTAGCATAAAGATGCTATTCTAGCCCATAAGCTTCAATGGGAAACTTAACAATAGCTGTTGAACAAACATTATTTTTATCTTTACATTGGTGTCCTGTTGCAATAAAAATGACACCCTCCACATTCTTATATCAAGAGTCAGAATTAATAAACACTTGGCCTCTGAAAGACTGTACCTGAGTGCTATGAAAGTCACTTTTGGCTTTTCCCGTTTGGGGGTCGCCACAGCAAATCATCACACTGATGACTCGCATGTTGACATTTGGCATGTGTGTTTTACGCCGGATGCCCTTCCAGATACAACCCTGATTCGAACCGAGGCCGCAGCAGCAAGAGCGCTGCGCCTTAACCACTAGCCTACTATATGTTTTGAAATTTGGTTGCAGAGCTCAGAGTGCACCAGTGGCGCCAAGGTTAAGACAATGACCATGACCCAAAGCTTCTCTGGCTTGCCTCCAGCCAGGGACTCTGTTTGCATGCAGTGTTGTAGTACTCAAGTCCAGGACTCGGACTCAAGGCCACTTCAAGTCCAGATTTTCAGGACTTGTGACTCGACTTGGACTTGAGTACTATTGACTGGGATTGCATTCAGACTCAGAAGCTGGAGGCTCAGACTCTGACTTGTTTTTTACAGTGATCTCTGTACTTGTAATCACAATACTAATGTTGGCATGCTAACTTCTTTACAGTGACAATGCTAATGCTGATGTTTTACAGGTATAATGTTTATTGTATTTGCTAGTGTGTTAGTTGTATTTAAAATGCAATTTAGCATTTCTCAAAGTTGTGTCAGTGCACTGAATAAAAGGCCTTATATGTGCGCACAGAGGGAGGAATGTGTCCTAGTTCCAGTGTGAGGATGAAAACAGTCATGTGGCTTTAATGTTTACAATAGACCTGTTAAGGATGGTGGAGACAAGTGTGCTGCAGGGCTCAACTAATATAGCGTACATTCTGTTTCATGGCTGCACTGTAAGAATGGCCTTCAAGTTGTCAGTATGGTCATTTTAGCATGTACTACAGCTGCTCAGTTGATCCATGATATTTGTGATACTCAATTAAAAAATATGTTCATGGTTTAGTCTGAAAATTACTCCAAGGAAAAACATAGTGCAGCAGCAAATTGTGGCTATCTGAAAACTTGAAATTACACATTTATAATTATTCCAATCCTCTACATAAATCAATTCAAATTCTTTTCTCTTTGAAGACAACCAGCAGATGGCACACATAGACACAGTCCTCCTGACAATATGCCAAGCTTAACTCTATGGTACAGTTCAATTTTAAAAATTTAATACACTTGAACCATTTGAAATTAGACAAATTGCAGGCTGCTTTTTGTGGCAAGTAAGCAACAGCATTCTGGCATTGCCATCAGGACGTCAGTAGGCAGTGATGATGTGCAGTGGCAGTGACCTTTTACTGGAGGACATACAGTTGCTGTAACGTCGTCTGCACCGCTATGCTGCCACTGGAGGGCAGCAGAGAGTGCTGATGTAAACTACCCTTCTGACCTGGCGTTAAAGGGAAAATCCAGCCTAAAATTTAAAAATGTTAATCCAGTAATTTTGTATCCCATGAGAAGTCATTTCTTCAGCTGAAAGGTGAGACACAGACTGCAGTGATCATGTTGTTTAGAGAAAAGTGCAGAAGCTCTGTCATAGACCACCATGTAGTTTAAATCCTTAAATCCACTACTATAGTAGTGTGTGTATACATATATATATACAGGCAATGGGGGGGTGGGGGGTTCAGTGTCTTGCTCAAGGACACTTTGACATGTGAACTGCAGGCACCAAGATTCAAACCTTCAGCCTTCTGGTTAAGAGACGACTGCTCTACCCACTGCACCACTGTCGCCTATAATATAATATAACTACTATAGGATAATATAACTGCTGTTCATGGTGTTCATAATATAGGTGGAGCCTGTTCTCTCTCAGTTGTTTTACCAATGATTCACTGCATGAACTGTCCTTTTTTGTGCAGGGACAACAGCTTCTTAGTATTTATGTAGCCTATCACACCTGTCTGAGGTCACGACCTGCTGTAAGGAGCAACCTTTGGACCTCAGCTGGCATTCACGGTGTTTCTGCTTTCCCCTCTGTTCACAGTCTAAACAGGCAGCATCGACAACTGCACACGTCTTCAACAGCTCTACTTATGACAGCATAATGCCATAAATCTCAAAACATAAAGTGCTTCTATCAAATCCAATTTTCCGCTTTTCTGTATGAATCTAATAGGCTATAGCATGACCGGTGTCGCCTCTAACGGGATGATAATGCAGACACTGCACCAGTATGATGCAGCCCTGCAGAAGTGCAGTGTGTGCAGCATAGACTGAGTGACCTTGTTTCAAGGTCGCAGTGACACTGCCGTCAGTTTTTCCTCTCACGCGCGCCTCACGGAAATCCTGTCCCGAGCCCCGAGCTCGCTGCATATGGCCAGATAAAGACGTAAACACGCCGTTGTCCTGCTCTTCTGACACAGTGAACGAAGTGCAGGTGAAGCTTTAGCGCTTATTTTTTATACAAACTAGACTAACTAATAATTAGTGCTAGATAATGGTAGGTGAATATTACGTTTTTTAAATCAGTGGGCATAACTGTCATCTCTTCTGTGACAACTTCTCTCCTTTGTGCCAGCTGTTACCAGGTATGTTGGAGAGCACAGCCTATTTCGAGAATCAGCAGGTTAGATACGGAGAGAAAAATCATTTAATTGTGATGATCGGTACGGTAAACACAAAAGGCACAAAGCATCTCTGAGACACATTTGATGATTGCCCTTTTGATAAACTTTATTAGGCCCACAGTTGATTGTTTTTCCTATTGAAATCCCTTTATTATTTCCCTTTCACCTGCCATTGCAGTGATCTCCCGATTTCCTGTCTGTGTAGCCTAGTGAGCCAGGTCAGTGGCACAAGACGGAAAGCATGACTATATTTTCCACAGTGTGCTGTAAACGGGATGATTCTTTCTGCAGCAATCCCCTAAAGCTTTTGATATAACTTAAATTAAAATATCTTCATGATTTTTAATTTTGTGGTATTTCGAGAAAAAAAATGCCACAACAAAACTATAAGTAGGCTGAATATACAATAAAGCCAAGAAAAAACATTTAAATGTATAAAATACAATTAGGCCTAGCAAGTCCATCTGGGAATTTTATAATTTTCTGTGGAAGATGGTTTGCTGCTGCAAGAACATTAAGAACAGTTTGTCAAGTTGCAACAAACAGACCGCGGGCTTGTTTGTAGCAAACAGATCTAGAGACGAGCTGCAGATAAATTAGAAGACCTAGACTGCATGTAGATTACCGTGGGCTGGGTCATGTTTTTTCACGATTTGGAGCCCATTATTATAATGCTGATGACGCTTTTGGAGGGTGCACACGGACGTAATGCAGACACAGCGGACGCAAATTTGGCAGAGGGAGGAGAAAAGACACGGGATAGAGACCACGTCACTGAGCTGCGTCAAGTCAACGAGAGGAAGCTAGGACGAAGCCGGAAGTTATGTCGTTTTCGTTTGTTAAAATAAAACCGTAATTTCTGTTTATGTAAGAAATACCAGCAGTAATTTGATTCTGGGGAGTATGTGTTATATTCAAGCAGCAGAGGGTGATTCTCTCATATTAGACCCGATTTCACTTTGGGACATTGTGTGGTTTGAGAAAAGTTAAAATGTAATGTGAGTCGACATAGTTTTATTGTGAAACGTTTATCTTACCGGACATGTAGTTTTTCTTGACTTTTATATTCAACTGCAACCTCAGTTGTATGAGCCGAAGACAAGAAATTATAACACCGGGCTGGGGAACCGAATAGGCTGGTGAGGCGGAGTATCACCGGTTGTTGTTATGACCTTATTACACGGTGAGGTGGGGATGCGATGTGAGACGCGCTGCGAGGCTTTGTCTGTGCCGTTAAGCCCACTGTGAACTTGCCGGCCGCAACTTGACAGACTTCAGAGAAAAAAAAGAAACCACCCTGCGATGTTTTGACATTTCCCAGTAAGTACAGTCTTACACTGCAGATATATTTTGGGTTTAGGCTGTTAACAATCTTTTTTTGCGGAGATGTCAGCTGTCTTAACGGGAGCCTAATGTGCACGCACGAGTTTCCTGGCAGAGCTAAGTTCGCGTGGTCATGCTATTTGGGGTAAGGGCACGAGCCACTGAATAAATATCTAGTACATTGTGTAATAATTTGCAGTAAAAGCGTCCTGTCCAGTTTACACCGCACTCATGTACTACCCCTGTCTACTCGTAAATAAACGCTGTTACACTCTGTGCCACTCTGCAATATTAACTCGCTGGTAACCTCTCTCCAAAATGACAACAATAAATAGGACATTTGGTCAGTGAGTACTTAAGAATGCAGGATCATGGTGGAGAATAAGATTATTCTTCTGTTTTAACACACCGTACTGTGGTAGTCACCGAGCCTGCTGGACTATGATTGAGATCACTGATCTTAAAGCATAATCCACTAAGGCAATTAACCTTTCACCGGTCCGAGATCAGAAGGCAGCAAGGTCACCCCTGGGTGCTGTTCTCCCTGTGTCCAGAGCAGTGCGTTTCAAACCCTCAAACTGACTTTTATACAGTGTGATGCACTATCAGTGACAGAGACCGCTGGTACCCCCTTAACAACAGGAAAGCTTTAAAACCACTTCAGATTAGTTATAACGTTTCATTTATGGGTGAAAGTGTGATCACAGATAACATTTTGAACAAGGACTTATTACAGTCACTAGTTTGTCTGCTGTGATGTTAATAAAATGTAAATCTTCACCTTATAAATCTGGTTTGAATATCCTTTTGCAAAATAAAGTTGTCAGTTCCGATCACTCCCAAAGAATATGATTAAACATCACTTGGTTTCCACATATTACATTCTTGCTGCTCAAGATTAAAGTTGCTTAGAAAAACTGAGATCCCTTCTTGCTTCAGTTTGGCATTTAATGTGGTCTAATGTTTATGAAAAAAAAAGCAGAGTCGTACTGATATAACTATAAAGAGTTACTAAAAGTCTTTCTCGTAATGTTTTTATTAAAACTAGTCTCTTTAATTATTTACAAAGAGTTATCGTCAAACTTAAGCTTATGACTTTGTACAAATGAAACACAAGGTGTTGGCTTTATGCTGTCTGTCCTTCATGCATTCCTGTGGCTATGACCTTTGGATTGTGTCATGCAGTGCAAGGGGGAGGGTACTCGAGAAGCATACAGAAATCTGGATAGATACAGTAGGTTATATACAGTATTTTAGGAAGAAAATGTCAGTTTACAAGTATCCACATCTTACCACAGAGGAAATAAAACTACTGCTTACTATAAAGTTTTCTCAGGCACAAATGAAGTTTGGCTCTGCTATTACTATGAGCTTTTCAGTAGTTTAATATGAACAGCTACTTGTCAGACAGTGGTCATTATGAGACCAGACAGTGGATGCAATGCGTCTATGGGGATTTGACCATTCAAATCACAAACTTAACATGAAAAACAAGTCTTGACTTTGCTTGAATCCTTTGCTTACTTTGCAGGTCTTCTGATAACTGCAGGGTTCAACCCAAAACAATAGCACTTCATTAAGCTACCAGAGGGAGTGAGGGCTATATAGACTTCAAACTCCAGTTCACCAAACAGGTAATCTGTTCTCACATCACCATTTATTCCAGTGAAATATTATGCTATGCTTCAACAATGTTTGTTGCTTGTATTCTGTGGCAAGGTGCCTCTCCTGCCCCACAGGTCATTCTTGTAGGACTATAGAGTGTCAATGCCTTCATTAGAAAATACTTACTTACAGATGAGGAAAGTGGAAAGGGAAATGCATCAAAAACAAGAGAGAACAATTTTGAAGGTGTTACAAGCCAAATGAGTGGCCACTCATAGATTATAATAGGTACAATTCTGTTGCAGTAAAGTGATTCACAAGACATGTTCCTGTTTGAGAATTGCAGGTCCAAACGGCAGCAACAACACTGAAGTATCTGTTGGTCTGTTGTTCTGAAGTTACTGTGCACTGACACATTGGAAGCTTGAAATGGTTGCCAATTGAGGAAAAAGTACTCAGGTTCTTAACTGTAGTACACTACCACCACCACTACTAATAATAATAATAATAATATAAAATAGCAGCAATACCACAGTTTAAAAATATTCTGTTACAAATCCTGCATTCAAAAATGTCACTCAAGTAAAAGTACAAAAATATTATCATCAAAATGTACTTAAAGTACCAAAAATAAATTCTCTCATTATGCAGAATGGCACATTTCACCATAATTCATGCATCAAAAATTATAGGCTGTGATCTTTCATCTGTGACTGAAATCTAGACCACCAAGCTTCAGAAGAAGACTCATAGGATTCTCAAAGATGAATCTCATTCAGCTCACACTTTTTTTAACTTCATTTCTTCCAAAAAAAGGCTGAGAGCTTTCAGAACCAAAACAACCAGGTTCAGAAACAGAACTTTTCCAGAAGCTGTTCATCTCTTTCATCCTCAAATTATTATTATTACTAATTTGACTTCCTTATTAGTTATGGGAACAGATTTTTGTTTTATTATAGGTGTATGCAGGTGGATGTGTGTAAGAATGGATGCATGGGTGTAACTTATTGGTAGTTTTCTTTTATGCCTTAAATGTTTGACACTTTGTATTTTTGGTCGTCTATGCTGTCATTTAAATGTTTTAAATGTGGCTCACTAAAGTCAATTCCATGAATTGAAGTGAAATGAATTGAGTTGAATTGTGTACATCGCTTTAATGTTGCAGATGGTAAAGGTGGAGCTAATGTTAACTACCTTATAAGCTTATACTCTGAAGTACTGCTGGGTAGCTTGTGAATTTCCCCACTGAGGAACAATAAAGTCTTATGATTAAACTGTATTTTGTTTTATTCATCTGATACTGATAAGTAACTTAAGTTGTCAGATACATGTAGTGCAGTAAAAAGTACCATATGTCGAAGTATGAAGTAGCAGAAAAAGAAAATATTCAAAATCCAGATACCATACAACTGTACTTAGGTACAGTATTACAGTAAATGTACTTAGTCACCTTGCCAAAATGAATGAATGAATGAATTAAAGAGGGACAGTCGATGGACGAGAGAGAGGATCACTCTTAGTACGCCCTTGTACAAATCAGTGTGAGAATGTTGTTTTTTTTGGATGCTGTATTGAGACAGGTGATAAATAAAAGCTTTCTGTAATAATGTGAATTAAAATTAGATTAAAATGTGTGTCTAAATCAATGTAAAGCCAATTTTCCTAAATTGGAGTGTCCTAATTTGAATAATTAAATGAATCACCATTTAATTGTGAGTCAAAATTGTATATCTTCATTAGGACTCTGTTGTATTATGTCAGGCATGTATGTCTGAGACTGTGGATTCATGGCTAGTACACTGATAATAAGTTCCCAGTCTGCTTATAAACCTGTATGAAGTTCACTGTTAGGATTGAACATATTTTCCAATATTAACAATGACCTATTGTGAGTATTTTTTCTGGACTACACGTTCCCAAGTGTGTGCTTCAGGGTGCTCCTGGCTTGCTCTATCCATCCTTTATTATTTTCCAGCTGTTAGGGAAAAGCGATAGTAGCTCGGCCCATCTCTACACACAACACCAGAGCCAACACGAGCTAGCAGTCGCTGGCAGCCTGGAAACTGGTTTTCTGTCATACCTGTGCCATGTTCTTGTCACGCCGTGGGGAGACTTAGGTGCTGTGCTGGTCAAGGTTATCGGGTAAGATGCAGCCCAGCCCGGGTTAGACTGACAAAGAAACTTGAGCTCTAGGAGGAGAGAGCTGGTCAGTCAGGATTAATGCTAGCTGCTGCTAGCCAAGGGTAGCTATCCTATAGTTATCATGTGTTCGTTGTCGTCGAAGCTAATGCTAACGCTACTTCAAACATGATGGCACATTAGTTTACAGTACACATGACACGTTTCTATGGTGAGATGAATAGAAAATACTGCAAATTATCCAACCTCAGCTGGTTTTACGCTAAAGTTTAATCTGCTTTAGTCGAACGAAAAAGTGGCCATAGAAGTTAGCCACGATCTTTTGCTTTTTAACATTTTTATTTGGTGAAAGTTCCGCACTTGTCAACGCAGATGTCGAATTGGCCGGCAGGGATACTTGCTGGTCTTAAAGTCTGAGCTAACTGAATATTGTTGTTGTTTATCTGGCGTCTTGTACTAGTCCTGATGTACTGGCTCAGTCGTTCACTGAGCTTGTAAACTCAGTCCAAGTCAGCTAACCTTTAAACAGGCTAAGGTTACTGTGACCCCTCTGTTTCTTGCCAAACAGTGCTACAATCAAGTGCACAGAGGGACAAACGCCAAAGAAAGTATACTGTAGGACTGGACTATCTACTGCAGCAGTAAATATGATTAAGGCATATTTGGTTTGCAATGAGTGATGGCTGGAGAAGTTAATATTATGCTCCTCCTTGCTGGGTGTCTTTAACCCAGGATGCCCACAAAATAGTCTTTACCATACTTGTCTGTATTACATGTTGTATTGTGTATTTGTTCTCAGTTTATACTGAACAGCTTTGATCATCATCAAGTTAAAAGTTGTGGTCTTTTTAAAAGGATGTGTATGTAAAAAAAAAAAACATGTTTCATTTCAGTCATGTCCTATAAATGCACTTTATGATGTTAAGGTTGCCCGGCTGTCAAGCTGTCAGCAGAGACCTGTTCATCATAGACATGTATAAATAAATCTGCTGGCTGACACAGACAAACAGCCCACAGCACAAGTCAGGACTGAGTGCTTATTGATTATATACCATAAACTCAGATTGTTGACCAGTAGGTTTGTAGTCAGAGTGATATTTCTGTGTTTACAGATTGCATGCCAGTGTTTTTAGCTACCTTCAGCTAGCTGTGATGAATTCTGCCATATATATATACAGTATGTAGTACCAGAAGAAACTCGCAGAAATTAAACATCTATTTTACAGGACTGTGTCCTGGAATAAAACTAATTATTTGGCCATATTGCTTCATTAATCCCTCCAAACATTGCAACTGAAGTAAATACCATAGTAAAAGTCTTGTATTGACTATACAAAACATCCATATGTTTATTTAATTATGGTGGTCACCCACACTAGTATGTACAAAACATACATGCATGTAACGTTGCCACTGTGGGCAGGGTGAGGGATCAGAGCACTGAACTGACCATAAGCAAAGTATTTTCAGTACTGCAGAACATACAGGCTGCAACTGAATGGTCAGCCCAGCTGATACAGATGACTGCTAATTGCTTTGGCCTGCCAGTATGTATGCCTGAGAAAATTACAAATCTGTTTCAGGTCAACCTGTCGCTCCATTTTTTTCCCTCACTCGTGAACAAGACCCTGAGATACTTAAACTCCTCCACTTGAGGGAGCAATCCACCTTTTTCCAACGGAGAACCATGGCCTCAGATTTGGAGGTGCAAATTCCCCGCCGCTTCACACTCAGCTGCAAACCCCTCCAGTGCACACTGTAGGTCTTGAACTGATGAAGCCAACAGAACCACATCATCTGCAAAGAGTACCAGTCTGTTGTGGTGAAGAAGGAGCTGAGTCGTAAGACGAAGCTCTCAATTTACCGGTCAATCTACGTTCCTACCCTCACCTATGGCCATGAACTTTGGATCATGACTGAAAGAATGAGATCACGGATACAAGCGGCAGAAATGAGTTTCTTCTGGAAAGTGGCTGGGCACACCCTTAGGGATAGGGTGCGGAGCTCAGCCACCTGTGAGGAGCTCAAAATAGAGCCGCTGCTCCTCCGCTGCTCCTCCACGTCGAGCGGTAACAGTTTAGGTGGCTTGGGCGCCTGTTTAGGATGCCCTCCTGGACACCTTCCTGGGGAGGTATTCCAGGCATGTCCCTCCAGGAGAAGGCCTTGGGGCAGACCCAGGACATGTTGGAGAGACTATGTCTCCCAGCTGGCCTGGGAATGCCTTGGGGTTCCTCCTGAGGAACTAGAGGGGGTGTGTTGGGAGAGGGAAGTCTGGGAGGTCCTGTTCAGGCTCCTGCCCCCACGACCCGGTCCCGGATGAAGATGGATGGATGTTTCAGGTCTTAACTGGATTGAGACGATTCAGGCTGCAGAGATCCACAGTCATTCAGCTAAGGCTCTGCATAAATGCATCCCATGATGAGTTGATGTCTAGACACAAGCGTGGCACAGACAGCTATTACTTTTCACCCATTTTTCTGTGCCCTGAAGTGAAGAAAATCAGTTTAACAACAGCTACGTTTTGATCATCATTCTAAGAAACACCAAAGAACAAAGTCAGCTTCAGACAGTATAATGAAACCTTTAGCTTTTCTGTATTCTGACTGGGTCTCCTTATAGAGCTGTAATAACAGGAGTGGTATAAATAAATTACCCTGATTCAGGCAGGGAAGTGTACTGGTCACTTTGATTGTACTGTACAAATATTCACCAATCCTGCTTGTTCTGTTACTTCAATGCAAGAAAGCGCCTGTGTCAGAGAGTTCTTATTTAACTATTATATTTCAATCAGTGCAATGTATGACTGACATCAAGGTGTAAGTCATTTGGCTCTAGTGACTTAGACCTACTAAGTTACTGGAAGTTGAATCGCAGTTTCAAAGTATGAAAC